TTTCTTAAGTCGACTTAGGCTTGGTTATGCTTATGACCACAGATATACATATACATAGACGACATTAATATAACCGATGACAATTAAGCCCAAGATGGGTTCAAACATCAGCAATTAGTTTTTGTGAAAAAGGTATTTAATATTAGCCCTTGTTATACATACATACATTTGTACATATCCCTCATTGCCCGCAAACATTTCTGAGCGTTCAGAATATATAAGTGCGAAAGGAGTCCTAGGTGGTAAGAAATATGAGTTTCAAAAACAAAAAATGTTTACTCTTATATGAATCTTTTAGGATTCATATATGATGTAAGTATGTATGTATGTTATTTGAAAGAAATTTTTGCTGAATGCCTTTGCAAATGTAATGCATTCCATAAGACTTAAAGAACAGCCTAAAAGCAGAGTCCGAATGTAGTAATTTATGAGGCCGATAAGAGCTTCAAAAAGAGTCTGAAATGATCCATATAGGTATGAGGCCAAAAATTGTTTTAAAGAGTCCAAAATGAGCCGTACATGAGGCCAATAAGACTCCAATATGACTCATATTGAGGCTCATTTGATGTATGAATTTAAGCTCATATACATACATACATAAGGCGACCTTCGGAGGAAGGCAATCACCCTCATATCGGACACCTAAATGAGCTCATTATGAGCGTAAAGGCTCCGAAATAGGAGTCCATTTACGACTCCAAATGTTTGCTGGGTTTACTTCAATAGTCATAATCCAAAAAAAAATTAAAATATTGGATTAAGTATGCAAAAATTACCGCTCTTCTTACATTAAGATCGACCTATCTCGGTAGCCTGTGATAGGGCGTTTGCATGACTACAAAAAATCAATTGTAGCCTTTAACGTTACTCAATTTTTTTAAGGGCTGTGCTCTCTGCGCGGATGCTACCTGTGACCATTACAGAAATACACTCGTAGGTCTGCCAACGCGCCTGCCGAGGGGCGGCGGCTGTTAGAAAAAACTTTTTTAAAATTAACATATAGCCGGACCAAGGATTGAACCCAGCACCTACGGAAAGGGTGTACGCACCTCTAACCACTCAGCCACATGTACCACTAAATCTATACTAACTAAAAACAAGTGCGATGTATATACGTGTTCGGTTAATTTATGTTAATATTCATTACCAGCACTAAATGATCTGCAATTTGCCAGTATTTCACTGTTGTTACTTTCATAGCGAGTCATTATAGCGTGCATCTCTTCATAGTAGTCCCAAACTGAAGGCATTCCAGATTTTACTAGTTTTCTTTCCTTTCTGCAAATATTCGAAAATTGTATTCATTCGAAAGTAAATTTGTTATAAACCGGCTACCGGTAGCGGGCGACCATATTTTGCATTTTCGTCTTTATATCCCTCATATTGTAATAGTAGTCCATTAATTCCATCTCTGCAACCATCTCTATTAAGACATGGTGGTTCTTCTTGAAGGCGCGAAGTTTGTCCACCTTCTCCTCCCATATTTGCAGTAATGCCTTTTCACCGCCTTCTTCCCATCTATTGCGTCGTCTCTTACCTTTCAGAAAATTTAATAAATACCTTGTTTTGGAAATTATAAAATAGACATATATCCTTACCGCTACTGTTTTCCATCTCTGTTTTGGGTTAATTACAATTTCAATAAACTAATTAAAATATCGCAATTAACTCCTAATTGATCAATTTAAATTGTTGTGTAAACGAGAGCTTAACTTTTTTGCTATTACTTTTAGAGATGAGAAATAAACTTCCGATATAGAATAATCGATTATTAAAGTCGATAATTAGGATCGTAGTTCGTTTAATTTATCATGTTTTAAATATTAGGGGTCTTCATATAAAGCGATAAAGGGATAAATTGCTTAAATTTTCAGTTCATCTGCTTTCTTTCATGAACGCACCTTGGTAGATAATTCCATAAAATTGTTTATTACACGATGACGTTACGATAAACGCTCGTATTAGAGCCAATTACGATAAACGCTCGTATTAGAGCCAATTTACACGACGACTTTTCACCCTGCGTTTTTGGCACGTTCCCTTTTAAAAAAGTCTTCGAAAATCCTCGTGCAAGATACCTTTTTTCTTTGCGGCGTTTCTTGCGTATTTTTGACATTTAAACGTCAAATTTTCTTTGGTCAACTCTTTCGTCCTCAATTTTAAAGCGGAGCAAATCTCGAACTCAAAGCAAAAATACGAAAAAGTGAACTCGATAAAAGCGAAAAGTCAAAAAAACCCCTCGATTTCGCTGCTTGCCTACCCCGCTGACTTCGCTACACTTCTTGCCAACAAGCTCGACACGCATGACTTTCCACCCAGGGTGAAAAGTCATCGTGTAATTTGGCTCTTATCCTTTCCATACGCCCGAAAGATGTATTGTTGTGAATGAGTGTGGTTTTTGTTCACATTTATCGGATCTCATTCGACAAGACCGACTCGTAATAGAGAATAACAGAATGCAAGCGGTTATCGTGCATCGTACGAATTCATAATAGGGGGAGCTATATGGCTAGTAACGTTTCACAAGTAATGTGTGAGATTAAATTGAAAGGTAAAACTGATTGTGTGTCGTCAGCGTAAATGCAGCTTAAAGCGAAGCGCACATTGGCGCGATTCTGTCGTTGGGAATCCGCAAGCCCAAAAATTACAACAATGCTACCCATACATTTTAATGCGCTAGCGCACACTTGCACGATTCCGTCGCTGCGAATTTTTCGAACATTCAATGTTCTTCTCTATTGACGCGTTCGAAACGCGGCTTGCAGCGTTTTGAAGGCGTCAAAGAAGAAGAAGAAAGGTGTCACAGCAATAAAGGCAAAGAAAAAAAAACGTGTAATGTACAAAAACTAATAAAAACGTTCGTAATAATAGTATTTTGTACGATTTGGGCACGCCGAGTGCGAAAATACACGAAATACAGGGAAAATTGAGTGAATTGTACATCGGAAATCGACGCGAAAAAATCCCTCAAGTGTGCGCACGTTTGCGGATTCGAAGTTAACAGCCGAATTCGCAACGTATTCGCAACGACAGAATCGCGCCAATGTGCGCTTCGCTTTAGTCTGCGCTTATTCATGGAAATTTTGGTCGAGGCGATTTTTCATATTCCCTTTTGGTGTTGCTCGTTTGATTTGCACACGGCGACTTTTTTTTATGCAATTCTTGTTGTCATGATTCAATGGCTGCGTTTCTTTATACATTCCGGATAATCCCATTTCACAGCCGGAATAAACAGAATACGTTTCAAATATACGTTAACATATCACCAGAACGTTCTAAAGAAAAGGTAAACAAAAGTTTATTCCAAACGTTCAGAATAAATAAAGGAATGCAGCCGATAATACATGGTTAGATAATTATTGACAGCTGCGGCTTGACACTCCCTTACAAAAGGTTACATTTACGAAGGACGGAGATATGGGAAGTATAAAATCCCTTGGTGCGAAAATGGTAGTAGAAAAGTACGCAAAGTAGGTAATTAGTAGTGAAATTCCTTTTGTAAAACCTAACGCATTTGTAGGAAATCTGGCATTTTAAGCGAAATATTAATCTGTCTTATTCTGAGTTTCGCCTGAAAAAAAATTCACCCGAAAATCATGGAAACCAAAAGTGAAAAGTGAACCGGTTCAGGGAAAATGAAACTCATGATAAGGCTGAATATATATAAATGTATTACGTAATTTATGTGCTATTTAGCTGCATAAAAACTGCAAAAGGACTCAAAACTAAAACAAAATTACTATTAGATTTATGTAAACATCCAATTTAAAAACAATTTATATTTTCATCAGTTAAATGTGCTTCATACGCATATACAAATAAACATATTGCACAAAAGCTTATTCTTCTATTTCTCAGCAAAGATACACTTTTTCAAAGTAAATTTGCAAAGAAGCGACACGGTGCCACTGCTTAAAGGCCCTACACACGGATCGATTTATCGGCCAAGCAGTTGGCCAACTGCTAGAAGTTGGTGGTAAATAAGCCGTGTGTAGGCAAGTTGGCAAACCTTCGTCAAGTTGTTCGTCAGGTTGGAGAAAATCAAAAGTTTTTGATTTTTGAGGCAGGTTGGTCAACTTGTTGCTCTGTGTGTATACAAGTTGGTAGCTTAAAATGCGATTTCATTTTTTTTTAAAGGCACATTAACGTTAACATGTGTTTTTCGGTTCTTTTCGCTGGTGAAAATGCGTATAATTTGTGAAAACGGGGGCGGTAGCAGTAATAAATACATAAAAATGAGCAGCTTTCCTGGCATAGCTTAAAAGTTTACCGGTGCTGTTGTGTTCACAGTTCAAAAACAGTCACTCAAATGAAATCGGCAAACTGGTTGGTGCGTTGAGTTTCGTTAAGTAGGTTGGTCAACTGATTGGCCGATAAATCAATGCGTGTGTAGGGCCTTTTATTGAATCATGTCTTGTTGTCAGCTGTGAACCGCTAAAGGCCCAGTTATACATACTTAGGGCCGGTTACTCAATGTCTGGTTAACACTATTCTGCGGTTAAACATCGTTATCGACGTCTTCGACTCCATGCATACAACAGGGAGTCGGTAACGTCGATAACGATGTTTAACCGCAGATTAGTGTTAACCAGACATTGAGTAACCGGCCCTTAGTATTGCATGAGAGTCATCACATAGGGAATCTGTTAAATGAGCTTTGCGTGTAAGCGGTTACCCAATGCACAGCATTACATATGTAGAAGTCTGTTGATTTTTGGATTCTACGTAAAATGACATGCTATGCCGTGCAGTGGAAAGTATGCATAACTGAGCCTTAACTCAATTTATAGAGACGAATGAGAGCACAAAGCGTGTTGCTCGAGCACAAGCAAATTGGTGCCCCTCTCCTTTCCTCGTCACGCTCTCTGGCACACAAGTCGAGTTGCCGCAATAAAAATCGCCGTGTGTAACGACAGCATCGCCCAATTCGTCGAAGTTTGCCGTGCGCCAGTACTGTATTTCAAGCAAAACGTAGAATAACGTGAACCAGAACTGCATTTTTATGTAAATTTGGTTTAAGTACTAGCGTTTTCAGGATTTAACAGTTCATTATAATTTACGGTGTAATAAAACAACCCTATAAACATTTTGGCGAACGTTCGAAAATGACGGAATCCTGTCGAAATCCCCACTTTTGTAAGACAAACAAACCGTTAGATATTAAAAATTTCAACCCTGTAGACTTTTTCACTTGAAATGTCCAAATTATCTACTTAAACAAACGCATGCAAACACACACACTAAATAGCAAATGTCAACGAAATCCAAAGAAAACGCGGTGGAAACACTTACGGATCTCCATAGCATGCATATACGTATGCGTGCGTTTGACAGAAAAATTGAATATAAAAATTTTTATGGCATCACCTAGAAAATTATATGAATTTTGATTTCTAAGCGTAAATGTCAAACACACGCATACGGATACGCATGCTATAGCTTGATATGCAGTTCAATACGAGCGTAAGCGTGAACGTATTTTGGCTGAATTTCTTTATTCATTCTGAACGTTTGGAATAATCTTTTTTGTTTACTTATTCTTTAGAACGTTCCTGATGATATGTTAACGTATATTTCAAACACATTCTGTTTATTCTGGCTGTGAAATGAGATTATCCGGAATGTATAAAGAAACGTAGCCTTTAATTCTCTATCTTTTGATGTATCAACTATTGCAAAAAGTTAAGTAATAACGAAGATATTGGTCAAAATAAAAAGCTCACGCTCACGCTCACATTGAACACTATAGCAGGCTTATGGAGGTCCGCCTTTAGAGATTACATTCCGAAATTGGAAAATATACAAAATAGCACATGTTCTGAGATGTGGCACTGGCAACACTGTTTCGGATACTCGAAAGTGCTCCCGGATCTAGGAATTCACTCACTTGCAAAGTATTCGTGTATATTTTCCATTATAGGATATGAAAAATAGTATATTAACTTTACCAAATTTTTTTGGTTTTAAGGCATTGCTTCCTTAATTGCAAAGTACTTAATTAATTAACCCAATGTTTGATTGATGTTTGATGCGTATGCAACATAATTAAATGTCTGGCAAGGCGGTGTGGAAATGTGAGGGAATTTCTCACCCCGCTTGATGGGATAAAGTCATAAAAGTTTGCTGTGAATCAGAATAAATTTATAATTTGCGTATAAAGTAGAGCGACAAAAGACTTATTAAAAAAAAGGCTCCAAGCCGTTTATAAAAAGTGAGGTCTAGCAATTGACTTGAAAAGCTTCACATCAAAAAATTTGTCGTCAGCTATCAAGGAGTGCACTTGGAAAAAAAGATATTTTTTGGACAAAAGAAAGACTGAAAATAAGTGAAGAGAACAAAGCAGAAGCGTGACAACGACGAAATAGCGGCCGTTCAAAACGACGACATAACACCAACAACTTTTTCACTGCACGCATTTACGACAGCGAGTCGGACGGTGACAAAAACGTAAACGTCTACATACATTGATTGGACGGTTTATATTTGGGAAAAAAGTACCGACGTGGTTTCTGTTTTGCGTAGGAGAAATTGAAAAACGGCAGATTCAACGCGCAATTACCACGAAAACAAAAAGTAAGCTCTATAGTAGTCTTCGACACGACGTAAACATTCGTCTTTAACCATGAGTGTGGACGCCTACGGGCCTGGTTCACAAACCTTGACGTTTCTGGATACGGAGGAGAATGACTTGATTGGCGCAGATACACAGGCATCGGACTTCGATTTTCGGGATTTTACATTACCC